GAACCACAATACCGACAAGTGATTAATAAAAGTCAAAAGACCAAAGAGGTCACCTTAATACCAAAAAAAAAAAAATAATAATAATAATAATAATGTTAATAGTTAATAATAAAATATACATTCATGAAACTATACTAAAATATAATAATAAAATTCATTCTATAACAGCATAATTTTTATGAATTCTTGCCAAATAAAAAAAATTCAGCATCACGGTTGGCTCACATTAATGGATTCGACACACAAGACAAATAAATATAGTTGGAAGCTCTTTATCTTGTATGTCCGAGACAACCATGGATGCTGAAAAAGTGACACATATTTTTTTGTATATACTGAAGATAGTGAGACCATCATGCAATTAACTCAAAAGAAATATCACAATTGGACTCTCTAGTACATCTTAATTGACCAAAGCAGTATCGAAACTAATGCTATAAAAAAAGCTTTTCCTAATAGTAGTGCTAGAGAACAAGAATATGAAATTTTATTTTACACTGTCCATTTAATGCACATGTAGATTTCGAAAATTTATGAAAATAAAGCTTGAAAAATTATGATGAAAGCTATATTTAAAAAAATAAAAAAAGGTTGTGAGCAACTTGTTTAAAACATCATTAGCACTTGTCTGGTCCCTGCTATTCACAACTATGTTAAATATAATTATATGAATAATATACACCAATGGGCCCTTTGAGCACAAAATTATTCACTATTTCTGTTCCAAATAACTTCTACAAATGCATTAGAATCTTTTCATAATTAGCTAAAGTGTATGATGTCCCATTTATATAGGCTGGTTGGTGCATCTAACAAGATTATTGCTTTTAATTGTAAGAAACAAATCGATGCTGAAAGTGCTGTTTTTAATTTTTGTACAAAAAAAGTGTCGGTCTACAGTATTGAAGATGAAATCATTAAAAAAATCCACAAGTTCCCCTATCCTATGCAATTAATGATTATAAAAGAAGCAAGTGCAGTAATAAATAGATTGGCAAAAAGTAAAGATGCCCTAGGACTTACTTTTCTTAATTGTGACTGCTTGTTTTATAATAACTATATGTTGTTGTGCAAACATATATTTTATGAACTATGGTTCTCACCAATTATTGACTGCCAAAGCCTGGAGAATGTTTCAGGAAATTTTTGAGGAAAGTGAATATGAAGTGTATGAAGATCAAGAGTTAATCAACATTGAAGTATCAGAAAAAAGTGGAAAAAAAATAAGTGCAAAAAATAGACGACTTACCATGAATGAGCTAACTGAAAGACTACAAGAAAAATACTGGAGTGTCGAAGAAAGAGGTGAAGCCAATGAAGCGGAGGCATTTATTTCCAAGCTAAAAGGTTCCCTGCATCCGATTTTTAAAAATAGGATATGCATATAGATTCAAAGTCTATATTAAAAAAAAAAAAAAAAAAATTAGTACCCTTGAAAAACTTAGCGAAAGTAACAGCTTCGAAGCAATACTTGTTTGCTCAATGTTAAAATAAAGAGCAATTAAATTTTGTTTAAAAAATTTAATAAATATTGAAGTTGGCTATTGGCCGAATTTATGCACGTGATCTATATGTTTATCTGTTTGGTCATTGATTGTCTACACACCACATGACTCGTCGACAATCAAAACTCGCTCCGCTTTAACCGACCCCATATTTGGACTATTAAGCAGGCAAATTTGCCTGCTACAGTCTACGGGATAAGCATGGACGCCAGTCTACTACGTAATAAATCACTAATTTTTTAATTTAGCAGATTGATTTAAATTACATCAGCCAATCATAACATCGGCTAACTTATTTATATAATTGAGGTTAAATAAGCATCGCTTTTAGCATTAACGTCATGGCATCTAAAGAAGAACTTAGGAAACGAAAAACTTATCTACAGATTGCGGGGTTTGCGTGCTCAAACTGTCACCAAACAAGTAGAGAAGACGGAACTAGAACGCTTTTACGATGCACACGTTGTCGTATGTCTTATTACTGTTCGAAAAGTTGTCAAAAAGCAGACTTTTCGTTTCATAAACAATTTTGTGCTGCTATCGAAGAACTTAGTAATCTTGAAGAGGTTTGGTATTCATGTAATGATAAAGAATCAGAATGGAATAAGAGAAAAATTTATCACATGCAACTGTTAGCAGCGGCGCTTGATAGAGATTTAACTAGTTATGAGAGTAATACTTGGTTAAATCAGCCAAAGTGTCACGTCTGTTTTAGGACCTCTCGTGACTCAGAAAGCCGTTCGGCGTTAATACCATGTACGAGTTGCCATGTTGTCTTTTGTTGTTCAAATGAGCATTGGGAACAACATCGATCGAAGCACAAATCTTTATGTCAAACTTATCAAATTATGGTTCAGTGCGAAATAATGAGGTGACATTTCATTTCATTATATATAGTTATTATATACCTCATAATGCCAAAAGTATGCATCACAGATCTAGGTTAAAATCCCGACAATTTGGCCGCATTAATTATAGTTCCGGTCAAGTTTTGTCGAGATTTTGATTCTGTTTGTCGGGATTTTGACCCAGACCAGACCCATGCATCACTATAAAAATAGTGTGGTTGATTTTCGGCAAATCAAAATGCATTATGATAATCAAGATATGCCACTAATTGTTGAAATATTTTATTAAATATTTTTATTATACCGATTTTGTAATAACTAGATATCATGGCACTTCGGAAACACTGTGGGCTCCTGAGGAATGGGATGAAAGTTTAATTTATCCACCACTCCCAAAAGATTGGAGTTCTTATTTGAAATGGAGAAAAGCACCACAATTCAATCAACTAGATGCTTTGTGTAGAGTAATAACTAACTCACTATCACTCCCGCTCACAATTCTATCTGCTTTGGAAACATTTTATCCACGTAGTCAATTGCGTTCTTTTGACGAATTGGTGATTCATCTAATAGGAGCTGGTAAATATGAGGTATCAGCACTTATGTCCTTCGAAGAAATTATGCATATACTACCAAACATAAGGACACTACAACTAATATTGATTGGAATAGAATTAACATCAAAAACAATGGGAGTTTCTTTACAATGTTGTCCACGTTGTACTAAAGCTGATCGAAAACGTATTTATTCGTTACATCCAATATCATATCATGAATATTCTGCTTCTGATGATTTTATTACTCCCCAAATTGTCGTTGGTTTCAATATTGGTCTGTATGAAGAATTTTGGAAACCATCAATTGAATTTTTGATAGAAAAAGAATTACCTTGTATATTCACTTCTTATTCCAAAGATGAGGCAAGTCAAGATGCTAAAATGTTGAAGAATTTGGGAGCAAAGATTATTGTGGGTGCTAAGGAAAATAAATGGCGGAGTACGATGCCGCTTGTCGAACCACAAGAAACGGATAAGTTTTATTATAATAATTATTATAGAACATTGCTAAAAGGGAAGCGTGAATATATAACACAGCCAAAAGGGAAGCGTGAATAAGTTCATTATGATAAACATTCACTGATTTTGAATCCTGTAGACCATTACTAATCGAGATTGTTCTATCAAATGGTGGATGTGTTTAATTATTAGAAAGTTATTTCACATTAATTGAAATTTATTAATAAAGGATAAGATAATGATCCCTTTACTGGTTTTGGCAAAATATTAATATTAATTCTACAAAAGATTAGGGTTGAATATTTTTTTTGTTTTGAAGGAAATTTTTTTTTTTCCTTTATCGAAAAAAATAATAGATAAATATAAACGCAACGATTACAATAAAAAGTAAGTAATAAAAAAATTGGCTATCTTGTGATCTGGCCATTATTTTTAGTCGAGTCATAGTACCGTCAATAAAATTGCCTGTTCGTGAATATTCATCAGACTTTTCACAAATATTAAATTAATTTTTATTACAAAATGTTATGGATTAAAAAGTAAATAATAAAAATGTAAAACTTACCATTGAGCCTATGATAGTGCTGGACTCTTTCACAGTCTCACCAATGCTCAAAGTAATCTAGGATCATTCAATTAATGTATAATTAATTGAAATTTAAAAAACATGAATTATCTGTAAAAATTACGAACCTCCTTTAATATTTTTACTTTACTGGTCAAACCTTCAATCTTTTCATCGTTTTGATTTTCTAGATCTAAATGTGAATTCGGCATTTGGACACTGCTTCCTGTCGCTTGAGCGCCAGCAAACAGCTCCGATCGAGTGAGACGTTTTGTCATGCCTTTAAAAAGAATTTCGGTTTTTTACTTTTTTATAATAAAATAGCTTTTGATGACTAGTAATTTACAGCAGTAACAATCTATTACTACGGTAGACTTGCCCAATTGGCTAAATAACAAGGCATCTTAATTGAAGATCATTATTCTCAAACGCTTCAGGATGTAGGATTAATAACTTTCATCTGATTGGTCATTACTTACAATTGTATTTATACAGTTTAGTGTTAAAGAGCTTTAAAAAATGTAATCTATATTTTTTACAAAAAATTAAGACCATCTCTTAGAAAAAAGCGTTAATAGCTAGCTATTCTGCAAAAGAATCCAAAAAAATTTACAATTTAGAAATATCTTAAAATTTAATATATTGTAATGTTCCAATCTTTTCACTAGGCAGGGTTGAGAATTTGCTATCTATTGAGAAAACAAAAGAAAGGTAATGGAGGTTCGAATAGACCTCAATTAATAAGTATGAATAAGTATCCATTGAGCTCCATTGACTCTATTGAAGTTCTTCATTGGTTCCATTGCCAACTTTAATTCTATCGCTATGTAATGTTATCTAGTTACATAAAAGTCAGATTACAGAATTTTATATGTATAACGAAAACTAAAAAGTACAAAAAAAAAAACAAAGAACTTCAAATTTTGGATATTACTAAAACGCACCTATGGTGTTTCGACAACTGGCTTAATTAATCAGTATAATAGGTGCAAAACACCATGGGTACGTTTATAATCATAATTGCTAATATTTATAATTTTACAATATATCAGTTTGTTTTTTTTATTTTTATATTTTCTAATACATGTAATAACTTTTTATCTAAAAATCTACGTAATTACTGTATGTTGGAATCTACTTAGGAGTAGTTAGAGAATTCCAATTCAACTTACAATAAAACTAAGTGTGTTTCAAATTCTTTCATCGAGTGCATTGTTTTACATCTATAATTAATGGATGTCAGAGTACTTAAATTTTTTAAATTTGAGTTTTTGCAATTGCGTTTAATACACGTATTATTTGCTTGTAAAAAAAGTTGCATAATAGTTACGTCTTGAACGCTTTTAGCTACATTCAACTCTTTAATAACAAACTTAAAATTCCGAAAGAAAAAAAAGGTCATTCTAGAAAATTGCTAAGTTTTCCATTGTACTTTTTATACTAAACGATTATAAAATTTCAAAATTTGAGTTCGTTATCCAGAGTCGACTGTATTATCTAATTTTGGAAACTTATCAGAACCCAACGCAAGAAATTATTTAGAATTATACTAAATCTGATAATGTTAGATTTTGAATCCAAGTTTATACAGGAAATTATTATGTTATTGTGGGCACTTTTTAAAAATTTGTATAGAGCTAAATAAATATAATATGAAGTTAAAAATAAAATTATAACCTTCTATTGAGTTAATTAAGATTACGTAATTTTGTGTAATATTACACAAAACAGAAATTAATAAGTTTAATATAAATTTAAATACTAATTTTAGTATATATAAAACTTTGTTTTTTATTAAGTAAATCAATCTTAATTATTGAGTAAAGTTTGCTCAATATAACAAATTACATGTTTTAAAATTTTTAGAATTTTTTAAAAAATATTTATTAAATTATTAAATATAATATTAAATTATTATATTTGGTAATTTATTAATTTTAAAATTTATAATTTAAGATGTTTTAAAAATTTTTGAAAATTTAATATTATCGTTAATATTTAAAAAAAAAAAAAAATTTTTTTAATATTATGACACCAAAAAAAAATAAATTTTTTTAATATTATGTATATTTTGTTATGCTGAACAAATTTTACTTAATAATTATATTTAGTTTAGTTAATCAAAAAAAAACTTTTAATGATAACAATGATAAGAATTAAATTTTTAAAAATTACTAATTTTTGCATTATGTAATATTACACAAAGTTATATAATCTCATTTAACTTAAAAAGTATTGTATAAAATTTTATAATCATTTTTTAATATATAAATTTATAATTTTATTTTTAGCTTCATATCTTATTTATTTAGTTCTATACAAATTTTTAAAGTATTCACAATAATATAATACCCTCCTGTATGTGCTATTCTTCAAAACTTTAAGTTGTTGTATTTACTGAAATCGTGTAAAACCCTAATAAAAAAATCAATGTCTGCACAGTTTTACGCCAACTGTTGACCGATTTATTGCTAAAATATTTCTAAAAATGGATAATCTTTAAATTCAACTATCGAGTAGAGTTTTGCAAAGAACAAAAAAGTGAAATAAGAATAAGAAGGTAGTAAAAAATCAATATTTTATCTTACCAATTTATCATGACGATATGATGTATATTGTTAACGTTAACCATTTATTTAGAGATGAGCATTATCGTTATACAGCATGGTGCATGATTACGTATAAGTATGAAAATTATAACGGATGTTAATTTCCGGAGGAGGAACTTAAAGTCCAGACAATAGGTAAGAAATATTCCATGTGGGTGGAGCAAAATTAAATGTAAAATTTTAATTAGCATGTCATCAGTTAACTTTTTTAGCAGTATATAACATATTTAAAATATTTAGCAATATGTAACATATTTAAAATTTTTAGCAGATACGTATACGTAACATTATTTTTTTTCAAATTGATGTATACAATTTATTACATAATTAACAATAATTTCATTAGCATTCAAATATTAGGTAGTTTATTGTTTTTAGCAATGATAATTCGATGAAATTTAATATTATGTATTTTGTCACTTTGGTAATGATAATAAAAAAATGAATTAACCAGTATTACAACAATACGTAGCATGATTATTAATGAATAAGTCAATTTTTATGTATTAAGCCATTATCATTATACACTATGTATTTGGAATTTAATCAAGAGAATATAATATATTATAAGCTCAAGTAGAGATGTTAACCAATTACATCATATTAACTTTATTCATATTATTACATCACATTAACCCACAGCACTAAATCACCTCTGATTTTACAAAAGTTAAAATTTTTACGATTTCATTGAACATTTAGATAAGTGTGTAAAAGCTATGTATTACACTAAAAGTTTTTTTGCATAAAACGATGCGGCGCTCCGGAATCTAACGGATCCCGTTTTTACATAAATTACAATATGTGACAATTAAGAATCATGCCCATCTCTACATTTATTGCAGTCAACTATTAAATTTATCGATATTAAGTACGGTATCAGACTCATTTCGCAATCAGTTCACCGACAATCAATTCACTGACAAGTTCATTTTACTGACAGTTTATTTCACCGACAAATTATTTCACTAATATAAATTACACTAACCTTAACTCTGATTCGAACCTAGCCCTAACGACAATGACCTAACAATGACCAGAATTACTTATCTGTGAAATGAGCTGTCCGTGAAATAAACTGTCGGTGAAATAAACATGTCAGTGAAATGTTGTGTCTACGAAATGAGTGTCGGTGAAATAAGCGGAACCAACTTAAGTTGCTTAAATTTCTTATCAACTTGAGAATTCCATTTCAACATAAGTGGATTCTAAATCTACAATAATTCTGTTCCGACGTAACATGTTATTTAGTCAATCAAATCGTAAGTTTTAAAAGAATAAAAAATACGAAAAATAATGCAAAAATAGAAACCATAATGAATTTAAAATCCATAATATACGCATTAAATTTTTCTGCAAAGTGAGTAACATAACATTATTCTGTTTATTTATTACTGTATTAACAATTAACTAACCTCTAATCTTATTATAGGAACTTAGAACCCAGATATCTTACACAATTTCTCTAACTATGACTGTCATTTTAATAGATGTTTTAAAGTTTTATATACGTCTCAACTTAGACATTCTTATATTTGTTCCTGTATTAAAAATTGTACGAAAATATATAGTTAGTTTATCTTGTCTTATTAAGCTTTTAAATAATTTTCTTATAAGCGTATAACAAAAAAAAGAGTTTAATGTTTTTACCTTTTTTTTGGTTTTTATTGCTCAACGTCTAGAAATTGTCGGTGTTTCATCAATTACCTACTTACTTATACAACTTTGCAGGGTAAATCGTCGTATAAAAACTGTGGGTTTCAAAGGGATTCAACCGATATTATTAAAATAAAATTTACTTAGAGTGATACTTCACGTTTCAAAGTAGGATAAGCAACACGAGCGTCTAAAGCGAGAAAACGGCGAAGAGATCCAATAAACCGAAAATAAGAAGAGTTCCAAGTAAAAAGTCTTATTCAATTTATTTTACTCTTTCGTCAGATGACGTTACGCACCTCACCTGATGATCTGCATCGAAGGTGCGTCAGCTGTGATCTAAGGAAGGCTTTTTTTATGAGTTCGGCATAACTATGGATGATAACAAATTGCCATCCTCTATACGAGAATAAAGACTAACAATAATGCTTTATAATAAAGAGGTTTTACAGTGATTTGCAATTACGAAAGAGACAAATGCCTAAATGTATATGTATATACAAGTAGTCGTATTTATTTTGTATGGTTTATTTGAGTTATTTGTATATCAGATATGAAGAAACGATTACTCTTTTATTATTGTATTGAATGGAGAGCGACGATTCTCAAGGGAACACTTGAACACAAGTTTTGAATATTACATATATCAATTATAGCAATATCTATTCTATGGGATAATTAATACACGATATAGTATAACTAGTATATGTAATACGGCTATAAAATAATAAAATATAATAAGTATATAAAATATAAGAAACAATATTCAACGGTGTATTGACACGTATGTTATTTTGTACGTTAACAGACTTAATGTTGTTGCTGTACATTAAAAAAGATTGGCGATATATATGTTATTTTGTACGTTAACAACAGACTTCATGCTGTTGCCATTTTTAGCACTATTGTCATACTTAATACTGTCGCCATTCTTCCTAATCATAAATCTCAAAACTACCAAAATTCCCAAAACTCCCAAAACTAACAAAACTACCAAAACTCCCAAAACTACCAAAACTACCAAACCGATTATTGAACCATTGTTGCTATAATTCATTGTGTAAGATAAATTGTTAAAAAATGCTTGTATTATTGAGTAAGCGTTGCTATAATTCATTGTGTAAAATAAATAGTTTTTAAAAAATGCTTGTATTTAATGTGTGTCTGCTTTCTATATTTGATCAGTATGTCAAACGAGTGTCTCGTGTTCGTATAATACTCGTATGCTTGTATTTAATGTGTATGTCTTCTTTCTATATTGATCAGTATGTCAAACGAGTGTCTCGTATTCGTCTTGTATAATATGTGTATAGTGTTAATAAACGACTAAATGTATATGAAAATAAGACGTATAACAGTTCATTAATAAAACTAGGAAAACAGGAACTGTGAAGTAAGGTGAATAATTAGACTCACTCTAAAATGCACAGCCAATCAGGGATACAGAAGCGAACAGACAGAATGCACGTGACAGTGTCGATCAAAGCCTTACAATAGATAGTGATGGGATTTGGGATTTAGGATGAATTTTTATTATATTTGGGATCAGAGTTGGGATTTAGGATGAATTTTATTATATTTGGGATCAGAGTTGGGATTTAGTATGAATTTTATTATATTTAAGATCAGTTTGGGTTTTGAAATTTGTTTTGCCAACGATATATTTATACTGCATTTGAATTACTAATATCATAATATCATTATCCTTCACGCGATGTAATTAACTAATAATAAAATTATTTATTTTAAGTTTACTCTAAAATGTATGTTATGAATATTATCCTTCACCCGTCTGATTAGCTGATGTCAATCAATTGCACAAACGTTTCACAATTTTACTAATGAAAAATGGAATTTTTTTTTTTATAATTAGGTTTAGAAGAATGTTGCCCTTTGCTATACAAAATAATCCCCAAAGCAGAGAGTTTTACTTAGAAACAAAGTTATTATGTGTATTATTATATTTTACAATTAGTAAAACGGGTATACAATTACTGATTGCAAAAAAATAGTTGAGAACGATTAATGTGTTTAAAGTAACGTTAGATTTTGAAAATAGACTCTCCCAAGCTAGATATTAATTTATTGTATTTAGGTACGTGTAGTATTGATCAATAATATAAAGATGGTTGTAATAACTGAAGAATAAGATTATCATTTAAGAATTTACGTGAATAAAAGAATTAAATTTCTTGAGTTTTCTTTTTGATAAATACAAATACGAATACTGTAAAGTTATAATTAGAGAAATATACAGTATAAGTGGCATTGCTAATTAATAATTATATTTCAAGGGTAGTAATATCTCTAGCAAAGGCACTAATAATTAACAATAGATTTTCCTTGAATATATAATTTACAAAAAAATAGTATATAAGCTTCGCTAACATAAAGGTTTATCTTTATTATCGTTATTTGATTGACCAATTATTACAATTTGATTGGTTAATTATCACGAGAAATCGATATTAAAAAAAAGTATTGTAAAACGTATAAAAAAAATCATTAATCAATTGTCTAACAATTAATTTATTACGTAATACGTATTGAAAAACCAACAATTTCAACAAAACTTTTTTATTAAGAGTAATTTCATCTATATCTACAGGCGTTGCTATCAAACATTATAAATAGCCTCGAATTTCCAAACATCAGGAAGTTATATCTGACATTGATATAATATTAAATATTTTAATGAAAGATCATTGAAATCAACGTTCTCTACGGTGAGATAGTATTAGCTTTAAATAATACTAAATTAACATTATTACAAGCGAGAAAATAGCGAAAATTCAAATTTGATATTAATAATGAATTGGCATTAATTTAGCATTAAAATAGCAAGAATTGAAATATAAAACGGTGTAATTTCAATACAGTACGTATAATTGTTATACCAAATTTATATATAATGCATATTTCGTAGGTAAATCTTGCATACAACAAAATACAAATTTGATAAATAAATATTGCAAAAAATATATTAAAAAAAAAAAAAAAATTATATTAATAAATTAATATTATATTTAAAATAATATAGAATTAATATTGAATTTTAATATAAAATTAATATTACAAAATTTTTATATTATAAATATATTAAATATTATTAATTTTTTAATATAAAATTATTTATAATATTATTGTTATATAATATTTAAATATTAAATTATTATTATTTAATAAATATATTATTTATATATTAAATTATGCTAATAAATTAATATTATATTTAAAATAATATAGAATTAATATTGAATTTTAATATAAAATTAATATTACAAAATTTTTATATTATAAATATATTAAATATTATTAATTTTTTAATATAAAATTATTTATAATATGAGTGACGAAAAGGGAAAACCTGTGAATCATTTCACTCATTGAGTAAGATAATTTACAGGTTTTCCCTTTTCGTGACTCATATTATTGTAATATAATATTTAAATATTAAATTATTACTATTTAATAATTATATTATTTATATTATATATTAAATTATGTCAATAAATTAATATTATATTTAAAATAGTATAGGATTAATATTAAATTTTAATATAAAATTAATATTGTAAAATTCTTATATTACAAATATATTAAATATTATCAATTTTTTAATTTTAAATCATTTATAATATGATTATACTATTATATTTAAATATTAAATTTATATTAAACAATTTTTAATATTAATTTAATATAGAAATAAATTTCCTGATGAAATAGCCTCGAATTTCCCAATTTCCCCCGAATCGATAGTGAATAGTTAGTGCTTTCCACTCAAATATTAATAGAGTAATTGTGTCTTCATCTACGAGTAACTCAAGGTTTTATTAATAAATTGTTATACATCTACTTGTATTTTCATATGCATTTAGTCGTTTGCCTTCTCTTCAACGCTAGTATTGATTTATTAGCACTATACACATATTATACAAGACGAACACGAGACATTCGCTTACTATCATCTACAGTTATCTCGTTCGTATAAGAGATAGTTCGGGTGTAGCAGTACTCCAATGCACGATCGTCCAGTAATAACTGCTTCTAACATATAAGCGGATATACACTTTAAGCACTATTTTTAAGCATTTACATGATGAAGTATAGCAAAGTTTATTCAATAATTGTTCTCCATTCAATACAATATAATAAAAGAGTAATCGTTTCTTCATACACAAATAACTCAAATAAACCATACAAAATAAATACGACTACTTGTATCCTCATATACATTTAGGGTCATATACATTTAGGGGTTTGTCTCTTTAGTAATGCAAATTACTGTAAACCTCTTTATTATAAAGCATTATTGTTAGTCTTTATTCTCGTATAGAGGATGGCAAAAGACATTTATTTATTAATTTAAGAGGTAGTTTGAATGTAACAGTAGGATCGTAGTGACCATTTTCTAAACATCGCTTATTAAAAAGAATTGTTATCATTGTATATATTTATTATAATTAACTCCATCGTGGATCTCTTGCAAGAGATCCTATCGTGATTACTTGATTAATTATTGTCCTGTTTGAATATGCATTCATGCAATGTTGCGATTTGCAACCAGTGTACAATGTTTAATAGAATATAGTTCGGAATTTCCTAGTGTACGTATACTCAGCAATGAACAGTCCATTTAACAACACTAATATTCAGTGTTCTTTCGCCTTCCAGTGGTTCCAACGGCAATTCCCACTAGAATGATTTTCTCACTGAAACATATCTTTGTAACTTATAGGTGTTTTCAAAAAAGTATGAACAGATGCAAATGATCATATCATAGTAAATTCACGAAATTTCCCATATGCTCAATCACAATTTTTAACTCATTGATCTTTATAGTCATTGTCAAATGGTTAAATTTAATAAAAACGACTAAATGTTTATTAATAAAACCTTGAGTATTACAGCTGTTTTGGGGACATCTGGTAAAAAAAATTGACCGAATGATTGTTTGGCCGCCGATTCGATAGGTTTTTGGTTTCGGTAATGATCGATTCTGTAATGTCCTCAGACTAACGCCTGCCTTAGATCGCAGCTGACGCAGATCGTCAGGTGAGGCGTAACGTCATCTTTGACGAAAGAGTAATACTTAGAACTCTTTTTATTCTCGGTTTCTTGTATTTCTTCGCCGTTTTCTCACTGGTAGCATTATTTACTTAAATCACTTTGGCGTCTTTCTTAACTTCAGTAGTATTCTATATTTTGGATCATTTTAGAATCGTCTTACTTCCAATAGCATTCTAGAATCTTTGGTACTTTACAACCAACAGTAGTATTCTTTTATATTAAGCTTGTCTCTTCAGCACCTCCGTTCTTTTTGAATTTCTTTGTCGGATATTCTTCCTAAGCTTTCATCTAAGCTTTTTCAGCACAAAATTTACATCTGAGGTACGTCAGCTGTGATCTGAAGCAGGCGCTAGTCTGAGGCACAACATATATATCTCTATAAATGACAGGGAAAATTTGTAAGTACAAGTGACTCTTGACATAAGAAAGTTACCGGGTCCAGTCAAAATCTTTCTTATATCAAGATTTTCTTATATCGAATGCTTTTTACTATAAAAATTATCGATTGGGACTTGTAAAAACTTTCTTATATCAAGAGTTTCTTATATCAAAGGTTTCTTATTGCTTTTTATTATAAAGATTCTCGATTGGGACTTGTAAAAACATCATCATATATCAAGAGGTTCTTATATCGAAGGTTTCTTATATCAAGATTTTCTTATATCGAATATAAAAATTCTCGATTGGGACGGCAAGGGAAAACCTGGAATCGGGCTTTCAATTATATTTGTATCCGTCGCAATTAATATAGTTTGTTAAAGATTGTATCCGATTCAAAAGATAATTGAAAACCTGATGACAGGTTTTCTCTTGGCGGCACTAATTTATATTAAATGTGATACTTAAAGGGTTTTCCTGTATAGCACTCATATTTCACAGTTAACTCATTTAACTGGCGTCTTTATAATATTTATAATAGTTGAATAAGCCAATGAATCTTTAGTCGTAAAACTTCATTTCACAGTTAACTCATTTAACTGGCGTCTTTATAATCTTCATAATAGATGAATAAGCCAAAGGATATTTAGTCGTAAAACTTCATTTACAGTTAACTGGCGTCTTTATAATCTTCATAATAGATGAATAAGCCAAAGGATCTTTAGTCGTAAAACTTCATTTACAGTTAACTCATTTAACTGGCGTCTTTATAATCTTTATAATAGATGAATAAGCCAAAGGATCTTTAGTCGTAAAATTCATTATTTCAATACTCTCATCTAATTCTTCCTAGCTTTCTCTTTGACTTATATTGTCATTATCATTCTGATTTCGATGCAGATGTCCCAAAAATAATGAAAATAGCCGGGAAATTCGTGGCTATTTATAACGTTGATAGCCTATAGATCCACAAAAAATTAATCACCCTAACGTGACTTAATCCTAACCCTAAATAGAAAAATACAATAAAAATGCAATACGTATATATTATACGTAGGACTTAGAACCTGTACGTATCAGATCCATAGAACAAGTCCATCCAATTTTGTATTGCTATCATAATTCAATTCAGGATCAAAGTTGTATAAAATATATTGTGTTTTCATGTTATCTAAGGATCGAATCCCTACTGATCCTTGAAGGATCGGACCGGAAAGGACCGATTAACATCCCTAACCCTAAAGATTTCATTACACCTGATCTTTCGATCTAATTGGATAAAAATAACCAATCTTTATGTTTTATATTTTGACCAGTATGTCTGCTACTCGACAATGTTTCAATTTTGTGTGCGTTCAATATTACACAAGGTTCATGTAGTTGTTAATGAAGCAACGTACTCCGGAGCAACCCGGGTTATACTCCATTTTAAGGTTGGAGTGGGTTGGAATTTTAAGAATTATATAGTAACCCGGAGCAAAGTTATTTCTTATAACCTGGGTTACTCCACATACGGAGTGACCTGGAGCGAACCCGGGTTGCTCTGAATTTTCATCGATCATTTGAAATAACCAGTCGCATTAGAATTTTAACTTCACTCACATAATTTATTTGATGAAATTAAAAAAGCTTTGTATTTCATTTTTGCATCTTATGCCATGTCATTGTCATGAGTAGTTTCTTACAACTTTTTTCTTTGGTAAGTGCATTAGAGTTATTTATTATCCGAATATGATAGGAATGTTGAACAGCTTAGGGAAGCGATTTTATAAGTGCCATCAAGGGAAAACCTGTCATCAGTCTTTCAATGATATTTGTACCAGATATAGTCTAATTTATTAGGAATCGTATCTGGTACGAAGTAGCCGTTTCCTTTGACGAACAGATTGTAAAAAAAACGCAGTGAGTTTCACGAGGATTCAAAGAATTGTTATAAGGAGAAGTGAAGGCATGAATTTATCCGTTAAATTTACCCTCATTTCATAGAAAGTTAAGCTACCCGAGCTTTTAAAAGAAGTATTGTAAAACGTATAGAAAAAATGATTTATCAATTGTGTAACTATATCGGAATAATCTACGAATTTTAACGATCGTTTCTGTTGGAGCAAAATTATTCCTATAACCCCGGAGTACCAACCCGGAGTACAACCGGAGTGTTAATTTAAAATATAGCTCGGGTTGGGTTGGAACAAACCCTGCTCCATCTGATTTTAACCCACTCCACTCCGTTCCATTAACAACCCTAGGTTCATGCATTGTCCCATGTTTGATCAGCCAATATACATAGGTTTTAAAAGATAGAAAATACAAAATCGAAGTGAAATTAGAACTGTAATAAATTTGAAGATTAGAATAAATGTATTCTATTTTTTGTGAAGTAGATAAGCATATCATTATTTAATAACTAATTGATGAGTTTACATCGAATTATCATTATAACTAATTGATGAATTCAATCATACAGTGCACAAATATGGAAATCATAAGTAGAAAATCACAATCCATTCAGATATTGGTATGCAAATACATAACGATAATACATTGAATTATCTAAATAATCATTCGTATATCATCTAGAAATCTACAACTCATGTTTATTAATAACTTTTTATCATTTAACCATGGTCTTTCTATTACAGTAAAGATCATATAAACTAACACTCAAACCCACACTACTTTATTAAATCGTGCTTCCAACTTTATTTATTGCTCAATGTCTGGAATTTGTAGTTTAGTATTTCATAAATTACTTAATTATATATACATCTTTGAAGGATGGATTCAAGTGGATTTAACCGATATTATTAAATATTGATGCGAAAATCTTCAGGTTTGACTTCCCCATTAAGTAAAATTTTTAAAAAAGTTGCTCAAAATGCATTTGTGCGTACTATATCCCAAATTTAGTTATGTAATCGGATTCCAAAAAATGTATATAAATGGTTGAAATCAGATTTTTTTTTTTTTTTTTTTTGACACCATTAACTATTTTATATTTCTCTTATAATTTTGTCTAAATGGTTGAAATTTAATAATGATGCTTGAATCAAACTTAGAGATTAGGTGAAAAAGGATCTTAAAAAAGTAACAGAATCTCACAAAAGTTTGAAATACGGTGTTTTTATTATCATTCAATCACTTTTTAAAATAAATTGTGTATAGATGTCCATAAACAATTTCTAATATTCGGTTCTATATTATCACCATGACCCTTTTATTTCTTAACACTTATATTGCCACTTTCATTTAATATTTTAATTTTTCCATATTTATTAATCTGAATATCCACACCAAATATTCAATATTTTTAAAATTTTGCTTAGCGAAGTATGATAAATTGCCATAAAATCAAAGCTAAAAACGACCTATTGAAATAGTGGCCGTTTACTGCGTCATTATCCATTGTTTGAAGTATCTTTTTTGATACTTCAAAATTAGTATTTAAATTACTAATTACTAAACGATAATCGTATTTTAAAACAATAAGATATACAATATTACAATTAAATTCTAATGTAATATGAATCAAGAACGATACTTTGCAAATGGCCACTATTTCAATAGGCCTGCATAAAATAGTATTTAGTTTAGCGAACAGAGTAACTGTTTGGAACAAAAAGGCTCGTTATAGAAAATTACTATTTTAAGAATCCATGGCACGTTCTATGAACTGTTGTGAAATTTAAAATTTTGAGTTCGTTATATAAAGGTTCGATACGTCCAAAATTCGTTATATAAAGGTTCGTTATGTTCAAAATTCGTTATATAGAGGTTCGTTATATCCAGAATCGACTGTATAATAATACATTAAATTATATGAAAGTGTATAATTATTTTTTAAAATATACATAACGATAATATTATCAAGAAAATAAAGCTTTAATAACAGTTTGGACTAGGAATGGTTTAAACTAAAGATGGGCAACCGCAGTATCATGCCATACATGCGTGCGCATTTTGCCCATCTCAGTTTTTTAGACATTTTTTCTTTTTTTAAAACATCGAAGTCCGAAATAAAATTTTGCCGAAACAGAAAATATTGTATCCAATTAATTTTAGTTGTCAGCTAAGAAAATGTTTTTTTTTAAAAAACGGTGTATATAATATAATTTCAAACTTAATATATATTACATGAAAAAATAACAATATATAAATATAGTTTATTATATTAATTTTATCAAAGCTATGTATTATTGTTTAAAATCTATGATTTGCCTATCGGTCAAATACAATCTTTCATCTGGTGTTAGTTTTACATTTGTTAATATTGAATTATTTAAGATTAGATTGAAACAGAATCCTGACTTCTTCATGAACCTTACATTTTAATAAATAATCTTTAATCGGTCAATTGGATCAACACAGTCTTCTTCGCAATAATTGCGTTTCCTTTTTGGTGAGGTATTTTCGATCATGTCTATCATGTTTAGCAACTTTTGTAAAGTTTAAACGGCATTCTTTAATAGGAGGTCTTCTACGAACATGAGATATTGAAGAATTTTTTTATTTTTTGAATGTTAGCAACTATAAATACTACAATGATGACTATGCAAGTTACAAACATAGTGCAGGTGGTATAATAATGATTTTTTTATACGTACGTAATTAATGGTAGCATAAATAGTAAAAATATATAAAATTTAAATTGCAATAATTCTTGAACAAGCCAACCTACACAAATGAAATTATATTTATCGGGTTTGATTTTGTGTGCTCTTTGAAGTAACGACGTATTTTTTTTATTTATTTTTTTTAGAGGGATGACTCAATTTCAATGCAAAATGGTTGTTTTTGATGTATTTTTAATAAAAATATCGAAAACGTAACTTTAGAATTTTTTTGTCGATCACCATTTCATAACAATAATACAATATGATAGTCAAATAGAGTCCTCCGTGATGATGGAAATTCTATTTGCAAAATAAGAGAAATTTTTACATTAATATCGATATTAACCGATTAGTTTGTAAATTTCATTCTATAGCTTTTGCAAAAAGATGTAGCCACTTGTCTGTTGTTTTATATTTTCGATCAGTTACTTCGATTCCTGCATGACATAGTGATCTGCAGAGGTCACAGCTTTTTGCAAAGTGCAATTAAGCTACCCGGTAGGACCGTGAAACATGACCTCTTCTAATAAGCGATCTCCGGATCCAAAACTGCCGATAACCCAAAATTTTGACCATGAAACTACCTTCTGCGTACTAATAAAAAAATTCCTTACAAAATTTTGGTATAGAATAGGCCCTTCTCCAGTCATTACCCTAACCCTAGCATAAGTTTTTATGACTTTACAGTTTAATAATATTACGTATATTTGTTTTGATTAGTGTGGATCATTTGATTGGTGCATTTCTCACGGCTCTACCGACAGTTTTAATTAAAAAATAGTAAGGAAATATAAGAACCGAAGAATAAATTAGTTATTGCTTTTAAACTTTATATTGGTGTGTCGCCCTTAACAAAAAATTTCCAATATTATTGTTTTTATTAACATAGATATTATATCTATGTACTATATCTTATACAAAATAAATTAATATTCTAAAAGATTCTTTTTTTTTTCTTTTTTTTTGTAATTATTAAATATACTAATTAAAAATACAGAAACTTTTAAAGCTAAATAAAGACTGAAAATTAAACCATTCAAACCAAAATTTAGTAAATATAGATAGTCCTTTCATTTTGCACACGATAATAGATATCATTAGGTGGTAGTGATTCGTGTATTTTCAATAATACTATCACGATTTAAACTAGAGGTACCATCACTATAATAATAATAGTGTGGATCTAAATCAAATCCATCACAAAATTTATCAAACTGTGAGATCAAATAAGAAAATTTAATACTTTCAGGGTGATCGGGAGGGAAATCCTGTTTAGGATCAAAAAAGTATGGTCTAGCACGAGACTCTGAATATGGGGGAAAAGAATTGACTAACCCCTTCGAATGTGGAAATGATGTCACAGAGATAGGAATGGTAATTTCATAGAATTGCATGTTAGTAATGAATTTACCAGACTCTACTTGAATAACACATCGCAAAGTGTAGTACACTCGTAAATGGCGTCCCGTATATGATGGAGGCACATGATGATGTTTTTTAGGAATGGTAAGAGAAAATTCAATTTTTCCAGTCTGCGAACGCTGCATGACTGGTATATCACAACGTCCTTCAGTAGAAGCAAGCGAGCGTTCATGTTTATCACATATGATATCCTTATCAAGAGGTCCTTCGTAATGTTTACGAAGAGAACATTGAGTGTATGTGATACGTCCGGCTGAGAGATTCGTAATGTTAAGTGTAAGATTAAATTCTTCACCTATATAAATCCACATTGGACATTTTAATGAATTAAGGGATGTACGTACATATAAGTTCAAGTAATTGAATATGAGTAATAATTACCAGGTGCAAACACATGCTTTGGTAGAATAGCCTCGACATGCATCAAAACTTTATTCTCATTACGTAAAGTCTCTTTATAGGTCCATTCTTGAGCAGGTGGCGCAAAATATATTGGAATTAAAGGCGTAACAACCTCAGGTCCTTCAATGAACGTTCCACCAGCGCCTTCAATAACAGCCTGCCACACGTAACGTATTGAGAACCCTTTTGGCCCCTGAACAATTGAGTCAAAGTCATTATAACTATAATCTTTCATTAGTGCAGATATACAATTATCTACAAATCAATACCTCGATCGATGGCGGAAAGTTTATGGCAGGCAACTTTAAAATTAAATTTAAGGTTCTGGTAAACAAATTTGTATTTAATTCTAATTTATGTTGAAAATCTTACCTTGAGTGCAAATTCAAACCTATACACTCCTGGAGTAAGCTCCTTCCAGGGACAATATTCATTATCTGTTAATAAAAAGTATAATTAAATTACTAGTCTAATTGAGCTCCCTTTTTTCTGATGATTGTTCAAATGAAGTGCTATAATATTCCTCATGCATTTGATGACTTTCATTTTACGGAATTTGATTTTAGTACCACAATTTAATACTAAATAACCTGCTATTGGAAATTGAATCCTGTAAATTAAATGCTATCAAATGCATAAAAATATTACATTTTCATTTGACACCATTTGACACCACTTATGGATCGAAGATTACCTCCATCTCCACCTCCAACTCCAATATTGCCACTCCAAACTGTACTGCTACATTCAAAATATGTAGTTCTTGCAGTGCATGACTCTATATTAGACGTAGCAGTTTCATCCCCTTTAAAAAAAGTATCGATTCTTTAGAACACAATCAATACGAATATAATTTACTGGAAAATACTGGTACTTACCTCGAAACTTTATTTTAATTGTAGATGCCCACAGGGTTTTATCAGTTTCGGAAACTTTTAATATAATTGCACCTAATGATATTATGTTTGGACCAAGTATGATTACTTTATAGTTATACTTCTGATAATAGACTTTCATTCAATGCATTGATACAATACCTCTCACAACCTGATTTGGTCGTAATACCAGCGACCTTCCTACTTCAAACTCTATACTTAATTTTGGGGAAGGATTAGAAACACACGCTGGCATATCTTCTTGGCTTTTTTCTGACTTCGACGAACGTTTTTTTCTAGTTAGCATTTAATTTTGTTTATCATAAAAAGTTGTGTATTCTTTGGTTATCACTAAACTTTGACCCGTTAAAAAAAAGTTTACAAAGAATGGACTTGTGGGCCATAGAAAGCGTAACCGTTCGTGATATTTTAACTTTTCATTTGACTTTCCGTTTATATGCTGTGTTGCACGCACGTCTAAAATATAAAATGTGTGTCAGAATCGTGGCGCAGATTCCTGAACTTACAAATCATATTTCAAGATCAAGATAACGTAACACGATCAAAACTCAATGACCCAACCCATTGAGGAATTAGTATACGTATAAAACTAGACGTTACCCAAACTATTTGGGACGTTCCAAATTACGTGATGAATAATATCGCGTGAGGTATTTACCTCCTTCTGAAATTGTGTAATGCTATTCATCACATAGCGTGGAACGTCCCAAATAGTTTGGGTAACAAAAATCGTGACCAAATTTTATGGCCATGTCGTGTAACTTTATGCGACAATCGAGCTATAAGATTGGTTAATATAATATTTTTGAAAAAAATCTATAATTCTGGCCAGAATTATAAGAATTTTACTAGAATTATGATGACCAAATTTTTAGATTTATTAGTAAAAATGAATACCTTTAAAATTTTTTATTTATTTTTTTTTTTTTTTGGAGTTAAGGTGAGGTCATGCCTCAAGTCTGTTTATTCGAACATATTGTTACAGTTTGTACA